TATCATTATTATTGTAATCGCTTATCGAAGAGGAGTATCATGCTTCAAATATCTATTTGCACCGCTCATGGTGTCCTGCAGGAATTGTCACTTTTCTGTAAAAAAAACTCCGAATTGAGTTATATCCTTTGCCTTGAATCAGGCAGTACTTTTGTGCATTTGAAATGTACGTTGTTCAGAAATCGTAAAGCTTTCGAGATTTCTTGTTTTGATATCTCACTGATATTTTTTTTTTGCAGAAAATGCGATTACTGGTGGGTCGCAATGGAAGGACAGCTGTTATTGCGGCTTCCTCGTTCATTCTTGGCTACTACATCAATAAATGCTCGCTGAGGCGTGTGAATGCAGCTTCTAGCACCGCAGTGACGCAGGTTTGTTTCTCTACTAGAATACTAGTCCAGCCACTTCGATTTCCCGCAAACTCAAAGGCCTAGATTTATTTATTTTTGTGCAAAGAACTGAAACGGGTTTTTTCGCAGAAATTTTTTTTCGCAAAATTTTTTTTCGCAGTAATTTCGCAAGGGATTTTCGCAGAAATTTCGCAGAGAATTTTCGCAGTAAATTTCGCAGAATTTTGAAAGATTACAAAAAATTTTTGATTTTTTTTTTAAAAAAAATTTTTTTTGGTTATTTAAGCTTTCCTTTTATGTATTTCCAGTTTCCAGCAGCTATGGTACCTGATCAGCTGTCGCCGGATATTGGTGGTTCAAAAATGCAACCATCTCGTGCCTCTGAAATAATGCGTTACGGCTATCCAGGCTTTGATAATCTACGTACTTTCGAGGACTACGTGCTTTCATACGATCGTCGTAACAGGTCAGATTATTCCAATTTTTTGTTTTTGGTTTTTTATTTCGCCTTTTTTAGTCTAATTTTCATGGAATTTCGAATCGGACCTTGTAGAAGTTTTGTGTTTTTAGCAGTTCGAAAGTTTACAGAGGAATATGTGGAACTATTATGATAATATATGGTCTATTTCTTCAGTTATGCATCTGAACAGCTTTTTCAGTTGCTTTATAGCCAGTAGGCTGGCGATCTT